AGTCATCAAAATTAATTATAATTGACCTTATTATAATAGCCTAGATAAGTGTCACTTTTCGTCGCAAAAAATTCACCTTCAAGGACAGTGCAGCAAGGACTACTTGGTTTTACGAGAGAGAACCGTGCTAAAATGAATTGAGAAGACACATGAATATCCGTTAACAAGCAAAGGTATGTCATTCTTGCCTTTTATATACTTCAGAATCATCTCGTTCCCTACCAAAGCCAACCTTTTCTAAGTCAATTGTTGACGTAGAGAGGCTCTTATCATAAGAATGATGCAACCGAAAATTTGTTCAGAAAGAGGGTGAGGTAGACTAGACTAACATCGACTACTATGATTGTTAAAGATATAGTTGTCTTAATCTTCCACTAAATATAGGTATAGCTGAAGATAAATGGTTCACAAAGTCAATCTCAAACTTATTGAAAACAAGCCTTAATTTCTTGGTGTTTTATATTATTTAAGAGATGACTTAAGGAAGAAAATCAATATTACAATTTCTAGTGCTATGAGATTCCTTTCATTTGTCCGAAACACTATTTTCATTCTTTCCTGAGTCGTCGTTCCTTGCTGCTCGCTAAGTTAAACCAATAATCACTACAATTGTTCCACTTATCCAACAAAATAAAGCCCCACCGCCTCCACCGGGCAATGGAGAATATACAAAATCTTTGGAATATTATTTTCGAGCACTAGAATGAAACCCATTCTTACCCCTAGAATGAAAGTATGCTTAAGGAAACTGGCTTCTCTTTTGTGAATTGCAAAGACAATAGGCTGGTGCCCTCTACTTGGGCAGGGCTTGGAACACTTTTTCAAGAATAGTCTCTGCTTATGCATTCTTGGAAAAATCATGACCCAAGAGCCTAGTATAATCGGTGAGATAAGAAGACAGACGCGTAAGTATTATCAACACATTTATTTCTATGGACAATTCGAGTGTTCAGGACCAGGGGCTGAGCTGATCATACAGATGGTGTCATGCGCAAGGGAACTCAATCAGCAGGAGGCTCAGCCATTTATTTCACTAAGCTTCGTTGATAAACATAAATTGTAGCGACCGCGAACTTTTAAATTATATAAATTAATTTTCTCGAAAAACGTGTCGCTAAAACGTAACCCTAATTTTCTAGAGAAACGCGTTCGTCTAGCCGTTATAAAAACGAATTCAAATCTATTCGATTGAATCCAATCCCGAATAATAATTTTATTATCAATTTCGA